CTATGGCTTAGATAGACTCATGAATTCAACTAATAACATAGGTATACAAACTATCTAAGTAGTATTGTGTATATTAAGCTTTTCTGAATCATGTGATTAGTTGTTTTTACGTCAGAATAAAAGTTTATCCGAACAAACATTTATTTACCCATAAAATATTATAATCAAACAACCTTACACAATAATGAAAGAAGTACAGATCATGTATTGTAACTTATTTTCGAAAGATATTTTCTGTGAATACTGCATTTGTTCTCATAGTGATTGATGATTCAAGGAGAAATTGATTAATTTATTATACTATTTTATTGAAAAAGCTCCAAATGAATTTGCGAGAAAATTTGTTATCTATACAGAAATATGAATAATGTTTCAAAAACTACACTGAATTGTATGTGGTAAAAAGCAAATATAATTTGACAGGTTTTTAATGGACATTCTAGTGATGTATATCGTGTTGAAGTTACAATGAAACCGGTAGGACTGAAATACACATAAATTATTAACTAACTTGTCATAAATAAAATGGAATGTATATATTAGAATTTAATGTTAAATCATTCAATACATGTATAATTAACATTTAAACATTAAATGCACTCATGAATTAAAATTAATTCTTTAGGTTTCATATCAAAATTTACTGTGCGTAAATAACAGAAATTAGACATGAATTTAATAAAAATGATAAATGAATATCGTTGAAGGTAATATTTAAAGCATCCACTGATAAGTATACAATGTCTCAATTAGTATGTTATTGATTAATTAGATTGGAGTTATATTATCTTCAATTCATTTTCTATTAAGGGTTTTGTGCTATGTTTTTCGGTATTTGGTATTTTGTGCCAAATTAATTATTTAATCAGTTAATTGATTCTGTTATCCATTAGTCATATTTCTTTCATACATCTAATGATTGATAATTATCTACTAAATCTTTCTGATAAAGTCCAACCTTATTGTCATGTAGACGATAATTATTTTTACAGGCCAATAAATTCAATGACCTGTAAATCAAGCTATTTAATAGGAAGAGAGAAATTGCATCAATATCCAATAAATATCATTGTATTTGATAAATACTTTTCTTTTTCTTCAAAATGACTTATTGAGAACTAATTGTTATGAAAACAATTTACTAGTAAGCATTATATGAACCAGTGTAAAATACAAAATAGATTTAAAAAGTGAAGAATAATTACCTAATATAATGAAAGGTCTTCAAAGTTTAATCATAAAAACAATTTATAAGAAATTAGCTAGAATGTAACATTTGTGCCAGGTTTTCTTCGCACTTTATTCATTGTCTCTGATAGACTCTATGATGATATGAAGCAGAACTGTTAAAACATTACAGAAACTTTGTTTAAAATAGTTTATAGAAACTATGATACAAAATTCCATTTTAATTTTATGAATTATACACAAAGACGTGAAAATTATTATCAATCATTTTTCATGGAAGTATCATTTGAAAAGCTCGTGGAATTGTTTTCTGTTTTTCATCTCAATAAACAAGCTAATTTTCAAATATTTCCTTACCTCAATAATAAAACTATTCTTACTTAATGCTTTTAATTATTTATCCTAATTCAAGAATAGTAATTTCAGTCAACCATAATGAAATCACCTGTATGGGATTGTGAAGTTTATTGAGTTTTATTGAGTTCATGAATCTAAGTAAAATAATCATTGATAACCTGAATAGGGTTTAGGAGATTATTAGGCTTCTGCATTATTAGATCCACGCTCGGTTGTCGTAGAATTCTGAGTCCCAACAGCGGAAGGATGTCTGCACACGATCGAAGAGTTTAGTACTACGACGAAACGACTGTTTAATGCTTCCAAGTTTAAATGGTTGTCTAGCTTATATCGGTTCGTAGTCTTAATATCATAGTACAGTCGTTTTTCACATTTAAACTTCACATTTGTTTCGGGAAAAAATTCATTATTACTTGTGAATCTTAATTTGTCAATGTATGGTATACTTTGCATAATTAAAAGATTTTTTTGATAAATTGAAAATATATATGTCATCTAATCAGTGAATGACTGTTATGAGCTAATCAGACTATAATCATTTCTAAAATCAATGGTTTGTTATGTAAACTAATATTATTTTCTTTTAATTACCATCAACCAAAAAAAGCAACAAAATAAATATTTAAGTATTAGAAAAATTGTTAAAAAGACCCATTTAGTTACATCTATAAAGACATCTAATATAGACAAATTACTTGAATTCGCTACATCCACGTGCATTTATTGATTCAACTGCTCCTGTGGAGCCAGTTATATAGAGCGTACAATTCGGCAAGTTCGTCATCGTATAACAGAACACCATCCATAGTGGTTATGCAAAGGAAAGAAAAGAGTGATTAATAGTTTTATTCTCATTCACTTGGTGGACACAGGTCATCAAGTTGAACTGAATAAAGCTTTTAAGGTTATCCACCACATTCTATCAAATTTGCCACATGGTTTACGAGTGCGTCTTTTTCACATTGCTGAAGCTATTGCAATCCATGTTCAAAAACCTAACGTTTACGTCCAAAAGAAAATTGTACAACTACTCTCGTTACCTTGGTCATCGGTAAAGAAGAGTTTGTAGCAGGACTTTCATAAACTATTTTCGTATCCTTTCCATTTTTTGTATTTTACTTATTCGCAACATTCGTCTCTTGATTCTTACATAACTACTATACTGCTGATCATTCATCAAAATATTTTGTTTGTTCCTTCTCTCTTTTATATGTTATGTAACGTAGCAACTGCTTGATTTTCGAATAATTACTTTATTATTAATCCTCTTTCTTTCAATTACTCTATGTTAATTTATAATCGATATGTCATTATATAACTATTACGAAACGTATCCACTCGATGAGTATTATTTCATTATTGTAAATCATATTTATATATACTAGTGTAGAGCCATAATGAAAAACTAATTGACAAGAAATTTCTTCGCTCGATTCGTTCCTTCTTTATTCTGTTATTATGGAGTATAATGATATTTCAGAGGGGATGTGGCTAGTGAAATACTAACTCAGAGATTACGCCGGAGAACTGCGATTAGTATTTTCTACGCGCCCAAAAGTTACACCGAGGCTAAAAGATGAATTACCTAGAATGACTACCTCATTTTGTATTTGTCAGTTCGACTGCTCCTGTGGAGCGAGTTATATTGGTCTAAGTTTTAGGAATTTACATTTTCGTGCTCGTGAATACCTTCCAGCGTGGCTAAACAAAGGTTTGATGAACAAAGTGAACAACTCAATATTGGCCCATTTTATACAAACTGGTCATAGTGCCAGTATAAACCAATCTTTTCCAGTTATTTATAAAGTCAGTATTTTTTCGCCAAAACTGGTCACACTAAAAGTCCTTCAAACGGCTGAAGCACTAACCATCCGGATGAAGAAACCGGAGCTATGCGTACAGAAGAAATATATTCAGCCACTCCTCCTCCCATGGCCAACATCAAGGCCAACTAATCAATCGTAATCTTAACTATTGAATGACCTAATTTGACTATGACCTTTCGCAGTCAATTGTAATTGTCTCTGTTATCTTTATTCATAAATCTTTAGTATCAGAAGGGGTTTGGTGGAGATTGTAGTAATTTCAACAGTTGAGATGAGTCAATTAAAGCTAGACCACCACGGAAAACCTGGAAGCACTGGACGGCCGTTTCTTCCTATTGTGGGACTCCTCAGCAGTGCGTATGCACGACCCCGCCTCGTGGGATTCGAACCCAGGACCTATCAGTTTCGTGCCAGGCGCTCAACCATGGTGGTCTACCTTCAATCTACTCATAAATCTCTGTATTATTATTATTATCATTATTATTCGTATTATTGGTTAATTATCATTAGTCTCCTCTATACATGATTCATTCACTTCGCATTTATCACTCCGTTATACGTCTTACTTATTTGATCGAATTGTAATTGCACTATTATTTCTCTCTCACCCTATTTGATCCATATTTATTTTGATCATGGATCTTAAATCTCACTTAACATATACGCAGATTCAAGTTAACATTCTATATGAGTCATATTAACATTAACAATTTTATTGTATTTTGTTTATCACAATCCTAAATTCACATACTTTAAACAATGTACTTTGCCATTAACCTGGACATTTTTCAGATTATTAATTTGGATATATAATTGTAGAACCTAAAGAGAATTTATCGAAAAGAATATTCTTCGTTCAAATATTAGTCTTTTAATATGACGGGGATCTTTAAACGATATTTCAATCTAGTCAATTAATTTTTAATATGATATTTAAGCTTTAATTAACTGGATAACTGGGATTATCAAACGCATTAGGAATAAGTGAATTTTCGACGAAAAAAACGTCGTATCACTTTTTTTCCCCCATTTAAATATCATTACTCTGTTTACAAATCAGTTTGAACTTGTTTAAATGTATGGAAACAAAAAACAAGACCTGTTTGCCTATACTGTTCAATGATCTAGATATTTGACAAAATGTGTTATCAATGTGTCCATTTGATTATTCTGTCCGTAAGTTGATCATCACGATTTTTTTCAACAAAAAAATAATAATTGTTATTATTACTACTAACTAACACACAAAATACCCCTTGCTTTTTTGTTAAACTAACGAATCTATAAAATATGAGTACACATGTACACAAATGTTAAAAGTGAATATCATCAAACGAGAGCAAACAGTTTTAAAAATAATTAAATTGGTGACTCAGCATTTAATTTAATTGCATCAATAATGATATTTTCATTGGTTGAAATTATTTTGTGTGTTCATATGTGGGTGTGCACGCGATTCAATGTGCAACTCCATATATTGAATAAACAATTAATGCAAAGAAATAAAGATGTGTTTGCATGTGTATATTGTTTGTTACTTATCTACAAGTTAGACGAATATATTCAATTAAAGAAAACCAGTGATCCTAGTCATTTAAGCCAGTATTATGGAATGGTTTAAATAGTTTCATGTTTAATTATCTAGTAAGAATGTTTTGTGGTGAATATGAAACTGATGAACTATCCAACATTAATGTTGAAGGCAATTCTGGTATTAAAGCATCATCATCCTCATCGATTTCTTGTGGATGTATAGGTAGGTACGATTTGAATTGATCTTTATCAAGGTAAATTAAACATTCATCTATCATATGTTATGACTAAAACATCCTTTTGCTCAAAACGCAGATTGATACAAGAATAAAATCAATTAAATGGAGTTTCTGTTATTCAATGGTTATATATTTATACCAAATTATAGTGTTCTGTTGAGTTGTACGTCACATGTGAAGTTTGGTTTATAAGCCTTACAAGTAATAGCGATTACTATATACTGAGGAGTGTATTTTTTTTACCATACATAAGACTGCAGGAATTACTACGGAAATACTGTTAAAATCATGTGATTTAACTAATTTAGATTTCTGTGTATTCATCTTCGGTATATGCTAAATTAGAAGTCTACTATTTATGCCGGCCTGTTAGGGAAGGGTATTTCGATGTATGATTCACCGTACTCGTCTGACAATAATGTGCCAAGTACTAAAAGCATGCGACTGGATTAATTGGAATACAACTCTACCGGTGCTGTATGCTTATTGTTGTTTTATTCTATAAATAACTTTAAACTTTCTAATCACCCAATTCTCTGAGTGGGATCTAAAATTCGCACGTTTGTTCATAGAAATCCTTTACTCTAAGTCACGTTGGATGCAAACTGATTGAGTTTAACATGAAGACTTCTGTAGTTTGGACGTTTACATTATACTGGTTCACATATAGTAATTCTAAATTTTATAAATGATCAAGTTATATAGAATTTCCGTGTTAGTTTATTCAATGTGAAAAAACTAGCAAATCATATCGACTATGTTCTAATAAAAATATCATACATGCTGCATTTTTTTCTACTTAATTATTTCCATCTTTCAACCTAACCCTTTTTAATTAGTTATCAGTCTTATGATGACTTTGTAAATATTTTCTATTATTTGTAATCCATGTCAGCAACCCGAGCCTATCTAATTAGTTTTTCAACTAGCCTGAATCTTAAAGTCGTCCCTTGGTGTCAAAAGTCTTATGCATATTAACACAGAACTGTACTTCAATATACATGAAATACGATTGCCACTTTGACTGCATCTAAGTAATAAGTTGACATGCTTCATTTCATGCATTTATTCGTTTTTTATTTTATGCAATTTTATAATGGCCTTTCATATTAGGACGAACATTACATACGTAAATCAAAAAACCCACTTTTCGACAGGAAAAATAATGGCTGTAATTTGTGGTATTGAAGTCAATTTGAACTGTATCACCAGGGCTAACCATTCGTACCTGTCTCACTTGTAGAGTAATATATCTAAAAAAATAACAATCACCAAAATTGAGAAAGTAATCGGATAGTGAATTCAGAAGCAAACAATATATTATCACCAGGAGAAAATTAGTTATTTTACAAACTATTTCAAGTAGTAACTAGTACATGTTAGATACTGATTAAGTTACTTTAAGCAGTACGTGTTTGAAGTTTAGATCTTTTATAGCCGTTTTTCAGTACACATATCTTTTAGCTTTAGAACAACATGGATTGTTTCATTGAGTTATTTTTAATTGCCTTTTGAACGTTCTAAAATAATATCACCAACATTAATTGGGCTCACGTTACGGAAAGTTTAGTAAGCTTTCTATAATCTCGTTGATTGTGTGTATTGATAATAACTATAGGTTTACTTCATCACCCACTTCAGGTACGAACCAATACAGGATATAAAAAAAGTTCTGTCTACCGCTATTAACTAACAACAAATGAAATGTTTTGTTGGCAACTCCTTATTTTCATATTTGTTATGATAACTTTAATCGTTCTTCTGAAGTTCAGCAGTATAATAAGTTTCCTTTGAAAGTGATCTTAGAGACAGAATATTATGCAACAGAAGTAATCTAAATAATATTATCAACTAATACAAGAAGAATAAGGTAAAGCGGTGAATATGAATCAAAAAATAAACACAAGACAGATTTGCCTAGTAACTATTTGTTGAGATTTTTTGAGGGATAATGAACAAATTTACTGTGTCATTCACGTATTTCGAACAAAGAGATTAGATTATTTGTTGCATACTTCAGACAAAAACTCAGTCAATTACTTTTCTCCATTTTTATTTTGACGGACTAATTTAAGCGTTGACCGTTTTCTGACACACGTCATTTAAATTTTAGTGTTTCTGTCTCTGAGCTGAAGAAAGAATCTAGATTTAACTAATGTACAATTACCATGGTGATATTTGATGTCATTATCCTCGATATTTTAAGTAAGATAAAGGATAGATCCAAGTACCCGATCGCACACTCGGAACATAATTGTACCATTATTCAAGTATTTCAGGATCTGGATATTGTCATCCGTTTTACAAAGTAGAGGCATATCATTAAAGTTTTCTAAGTCAAGGTTATAGGAACCAGATCAGACATGAAATAAACCATGCTTAGAATCCTTCCTTTGAAAACACAGAACATAAATATCGAGAAACTGAGGGACGCTAACAGTCAATATTTGACGTGGCCAATTTTAGAGAACAATTTCAGGAAATCTATGGCCAGACGAATAGTGCTCGAACATAGTCTTCAATACCGCTAATTTTTTAGTGTATATTTCAGTCAGAGACACTATATTTAGGTCAAAGATTCTGGTTTCCTTTAGCCTATAGTAGGGTGAGTATTGAATTTGAAAATCCATACATAGGCCCTAAATTTTCCTAATTTTTTCAGGGTGACTACTCTCAGACAGTATTTGCGTCCAAAATATAAGATTCTGGGCACTATTCTAGTCTACACTTTCTCTCTATGGTTAGCACAACAGGATTTCATTCTTTTTGTAAATTGGCATGACCAGTGCTCCCAAAACGTCTAGTGTAGTTGCACATCAGCCTCCAAAATCTAATTAATTTCCTTAAAAAATTATCTTACAATACTGTGCTACCAGATGTCTAAACCTGTAGACCTAAACTTAAAAAGACTCCTGATCTGTCTAACCTGGAGTTTATTTCAGGCTTCCCAAATCCACTAATAGACACTTGTACGATTTCAGCGATCTAAGTATTAACATAGGTTACAGAACCGTCCGGTTTACAACGTCACTCAAACTGAAAAAATAAATTATTTAAGTAACTAAACCTGATACGTACTTATGACTCTGTCGACACGCTTGAACATCATGTTATCAAGTACCTGGTGGCTAATATATCAACAAGGTTCCCACTATCATACCAAACAGATAAAATTTACAGAAATGGCCCTAGTGTATTCTAATTTTCTCCGTTTAAGTTAAGCGATTTAACATCAAACATAATATAGTCATATTGGTTAGTAATATATTTTTTCGAGAGGCTTCCTAAAAATAACATTAGGTTTGCTACAGCCTTTCAGTTTGTAGTTTACTTTGCGAACTGGAATCAGCTAGAAAGTCATTAAAAACGAAGAAATATTAGTCGGACGTTTCATAACGTTATAAGATTATTCACTAGTGCAAACCGACGAACCATCCAGAAAACAAACAAAAAAACTTCAGTGCATATTCTTGGAGTTAAAGTGGGAAAACATGGTCAGTTAAGTTCAACTGTATTACATATGATATGAGGATCGCAGATCATGAATCACCTAAACTTAGAAATGTAACATATTATCTTACCTACATACTTACGCCTGTTACTCCCAATGGAGCATAGGCCGAAGACCAGCACACTCCAACCCACTCTGTCCTGGGCCTTCTTTTCTAATTCGATCCAATTCTTGTTCATTTTCTTATGTCTATCTCCATTTCCCGGCGTAATGTGTTCATTGGTCTTCCTCTCCTCCTTTGGCCTTCAGGATTCCATGTGAGGGCTTGCCTTGTGACGCATTTGGGTGCTTTCCTCAATGTGTGTCCTATCCACTTCCAGCGCTTCTTTCTAATTTCTTCTCCGCTGGGATCTGGTTTGTTCTTTCCCATAGTTGGTTGTTGCTAATAGTGTCTGGCCAACGGACCCGAAGTATTTTGCGTAGACAACTGTTAATAAACACCTGTATCTTCTGGATGATGGTTTTCGTGGTTCTCCAGGTTTCCGCCCCATACAGTAGAACTGTCTTGACATTTGTATTGAAAACCCTGACCTTGGTGTTGGTTGATAGGTGCTTTGAGTTCCAGACGTTCTTCAGTTGTAGATATGCTGCTCTTACTTTGCCGATCCGCGCCTTCAAATCTGCATCAAACCCACCATGTTCATCAATGATGCTGCCCAGATATGAAAAGGTTTTTACATCTCCCGTGTCTTCTCCGTCAATTGTGATTGGATTGGTGCATGCTGTGTTGTGTCGGAGAATCTTGCTTTTTTCTTTGTGTATGTTGAGACCTACTGCTGTTGAGACTGCTGCTACACTGGTCGTCTTCTCCTGCATTTGTTGTTGCACGTGCGATAGAAGAGTCAGATCATCTGCGAAGTCTAGATCATCCAACTGCATCTTAGATGTCCATTGTATCCCGCGCTTCCCTTCAGACGTTGACGTCTTCATGATCCAGTCGATCACCAGTAGAAAGAGAAAGGGTGAGAGTAAGCAACCTTGCCTGACACCAGTCTTTACTTCGAACGAGTTTGTCAACTGTCCTCCATACACGATTTTGCAGTTTAATCTATCATAGGAATTCTGCATGATATTGACTATCTTCTGAGGCACGCCGTAGTGTCGAAGAAGTTTCCATAATGTTGTTCTGTCCACGCTGTCAAATGCTTTTTCGTAGTCAATGAAGTTGATGTAGAGTGATGGATTCCATTCAATTGATTGTTCCATAATGATTGGTAGAGTTGCGATTTGGTCTGTACACGATCTATCCTTACGGAATCCTGCCTGTTGATCTCGAAGTTTGGCGTCTACGGAGTTTTTCATTTTGTTTAACAATACCCTGTTGAGAAGTTTTCCTGGTAATGAGAAAAGAGTGATGCCGTTGTAGTTATCACAGTTGCTGAGATCGCCTGTCTTTTATATTTTGATCAGAAGTCCTTCTTTCCAGTCTGTTGGTACTTGTTCCTCATCCCAAATCTTATTGAAGAGAATGTG